CAATCTAGTTAAGACTTCTTAAAATAACATGATACCATGATAGAAAAGCCACTTACTGACTTCCTGATGCATTTCTGACCTCCTCTGCAACTGTGGAGTCCCTGTCATACAGGAAACACTGTAAATCACTGAAGAAAGAGACAATTTAAGAACCCTAATTTTGGGTGCTGGGGAGTCAGTTGGTAGCTCAGCTCAGTGGTACAGCACTTTACATAGCGAGTGTGAAGCCCTGGCTTCAATCTCCAGCACCAAAAACAAAACAAACAAACAAACAAAAAACACATACACAAGCAAAACTGTGACACTGAATGACTTAAAGACATAAAATTCAAGCATATCTACATGAGCATAAATGCAGAAATGTGTGAGCACCCAACTAGAAGGCTGCAGATAATGAAAGGAATGATGCTAATACCCAGAGCCTGACGACAGACAGAGCGCCACAGGAGCTGTGCATCTGGGGGTTGCAGGAACAGCACAGCTCCCAGTGAGGATCAAGAAGGCTGGTCTCTAGCTCAGTGGCACAGCACCTGCCTGGCAAGCACGAGGTCCTGAGTTCAATACCCAGTACCAGAGAGAGAGAGAGAGAGAGAGACAGAGAGAGAGAGAGAGCGAGAGAGAGGGGGGGAGAGAGAGAGAGGGAGAGAAAAAGCGAGAGAGAGAGCGAGAGAAAGAGAGAGAGGGAGAGAAGGAGGGAGGGAGGAAGAGAGGAGAGAGAGAGAGAGAGAGATCGGGGGTAAGTGCAGCAGGTAAACTCACCCAGCAGCATTGGTCTGCCAGGCCATGCTACATTATACACCAGGGCCACTACCCAAGAGAAGGGAACTAGAACTGGGTCAGGTATTTTTAAGCATGTGCCCCTATCACATTTCACTCTGTGCCACAGTGTCCCTGCATTGCTGGCTGTAGGATCCAAGTGTACTTCTAGATAGTCAGCTCTAACGCCAAAACAAGGGAGTGAAATGGCTTGTGAGGTACCAACACTACTGTACAAATCTCTGCCGGGCTAATATTTTGGTTTTTATTTTTATTTTTAATGTGTTTTCATTCATCAGTAGCCACGGAGGCATAACTCTTATCCACTTATTTATACTTCTTTAAATCTCTACTCACTCAGTAGAGGTTTTTTCATGATTAAAACTTTTTCATGATTTCACTAAAAAACACCAAAGTGTTTGAAGAAAGGGACAGATTCTAGGTGGAACAAAACTTCCTTCCCCAAAAGGAACTGTACATCACCTCTAATCCTGGCCTCAGGAGCATCAAGCTCTAAATTCCCCACCTGGCCAGAACCTCAGGCTTGAGGGGAAGGGGTTCCATGAACTTCAGTGCGGAGGTGCAACCCTCAGATTAAGGCTAACCTGACCACTTGCAACTTGTCTAAATAGCAGTGCTTCTCCTTCACAACTACTCGCTCTCCTGATAAATAAAACTTACTTGGGCTACATGGTTACACTTGTAGATTTGGGTCACACATTTGGACAATCATCTCTTTCCAAGACTGGTTAATTTATCCTTAATTTACAGCCTATACGTTCTTCAAAGTGTTTACTCTTTACCAAAATACCTACTTCAGAGTAATTCCTTACAGTTGCTCAGTACCCCAAGGTATTTTTCTTGTTGATATTTTATAGCATCCTGGTGAGGTAGCTGATTTCCTCGTTTTTCAAGATTAGAAATTTGAACTTGATTTAAATTCCCTATTCAAGGTCACATAGCTAGAGAACTTGGCAGAATATAAGCCACTGTGTCTAGTCCTAACTAGTTTATTTCCATAATACTTCTGTCTCAAACAAAATCAAAGTATTTCAATCAAAATAAAATGTTAAAAATTTTTAAAATAAGGAAGTTATATAAAAACTCACGTAGCGCTTAACAAAAAATTTTTAAAATTTAAGTATCTTGAATTACTACCCTGACAATAATCCACTAAAAATCACTGCTTAAATTAATCTCTCTACCAAGTACACTAAAAAAATGCTGTATGAGTGTGTGTGTGTGTGTGTGTGTGTGTGTGTGTGTGTGTGTGTGTGTTTGGGGGCAGTACTATTTCAAAGAGTTTTATACTTTTATCTTGAGGTTTCAAAAATGTGGGTGTACATGTTTACTTATTAAAGCAGGTCCTAGTGCAACCAATAGGCTGGTAAACATCTGTTAATATCTGAAGTACTATGTACTGTGATATGATCAATAAAAGCAAGGATACAGTACATTTCCTACCCTTAAGGAGCTTAGGGGCTGGGGATTTAGCTCAGCGGCAAAGCGCCTGCCTGGCAAGCGCAAGGTCGTGAGTTCGGTTCCCGGTACCGGAGAAAAACCAAAAAAAAAAAAAAAAAGGAGCTTATAACCTGGGTGCGGGCAGGACTCAGAAATAGTCTGAGAGAGGGCAAGCAGGCTGCTGCAATTTCCTGCGCTAAGAGGGGGAAGGAAAATCTGCTGTTGATGAAGGGAGAAAACCTCTGTGCGTCTTGAGGAAACAGGTGGGATATGCCAGCAAACTGGGTGAGACCAGCACAAAAACTGACTGAAACACTGAGCTTCATTACACCTTCATCATCACATTTTCCTAATAAAAGCTTCTCCTAGATAACACACTGTTAAGCACACTTGCATGGTGAGCAAACACACCTGCACAGTAACTCAATTCTACCCTGTCTGGGACCTCTGGATAAAAAAAAAAAATGGGAAAAATGAATGACATTCCTTCAGGACCCCATAAATGCAGAATGTACAGTTTGTCAGAGGTCACTACTGTCTGTGCGTGGCCAACTTCAGCTTCTCTTTTCTGGAACTGCCTACTGGGCAGTCAGCCTTGTTTCTTTTCTGCAATAAATTTCATTTTGTTTTACCCTAGAATTAGTCCATGCTATGATTTTCGTCTCATGAGCACACAAACCCATGTTAGCTGGTGACAGAAGAACAAGACAACAATATATCATTGACATCACCATCATATTAGAAAATAATATCAATTCACTGTGCATGTGTAATGCCTTAGGCCAGTAGTAGCTGAGAGAAATATAACTGAGCCAAGGGTATAACTTAAAATTTTCTAGTAGTCAAATTTTAAAAGGTTAAACTAGAAAAACATAATTTTAATTATATATATTAACTCAACATATCTGCAATGTTATATCAACATGCTAATGGAAAAATTGAGATATTTTACCCTCTTTTTATATTAAAGTCTTCAAAATCCTACACTTTACACTTATAGCACATCTCAACTGAAATCTAAATTTTCATCATAAATACTTGGACTGTGTTTAGATTTCACAAAACTGACAGCTGAGAAGTACATTCACATACCCATACCCAAATTGTACCAAAAACTACTCAAAAGTTTTCCAACCACTAAACTGAATACCAAAAAATAATTTTCCCTTAATTTTCACAAGCATTGATAAAACTGGTTCACTTTTTTCCAATAAATGATTTGACTTTAAAGCAAAAGTGTACCACTTTCAAATTGTATCTGTTGAAGTAAACTTAGTAACTCTTAAATGAGTAATATCGAATTCAGTGATGCATTTGAATAAATTAGAAAACAACTTCAAATTTATCAGTATCAACAAAGCACTCTTCAAATTCTTTCCAGTCTCTGTTGCCAATTTATGAAATGATATTTATAATTAAAATCCCCTGTATATTGACTCATATTAGAAGTATGTGTAAAATCTTGTAATTGAATTCTTTTATGAAAATCTTGCATTTCAACATAAATTCTCATTTTTGCCGACTAGCAAGGTCACAAATTAGCTTTTCCTTTCCTTTCAAGTTTCAAATTTAGCTCCTTCAAAACAGTGTGATCTGAATGAGAAAACAAACCACACTGTAATGTTCTCTTTGTAAGCACCGAGTATTTGGCAAACATTCTTTTTGTTTCAAGAAACGAAAGATCTTATACTTGAGTAAATATTACAAGTTGTAAAACTTGTCCATGATTCTAGCAATGAGTGCTGTCAAACAGCCCAAGACTGTAGCCTTTATTGTCTTCTATTTCTTTCAAGAGGTCTATAACCTGCCAATTATGTAACTGATAGACTGTACATTTTCAAGCACTGTATCTATGGCACCTTTTATAGTTTTCTTCAAAATATAATGAAATAAAGCAACAAGAGAAATGCACATATTTGATTTAACAGCTAGAATACTGTTATGGTAGAAATTAATTTTTTTCATAACATCTGAAATTCTCTGACATATGTAAAACATTAAAAAAAAAACCTATGTTGTAAATTTGGTATTAGTAAAACAAATTTACATTTTCTTTATAAATTTCAAGTCCTCTGAAATAAAGGGTACCTACAGAATTAACTAGACAGTAAATCATATATTACAAAATTTATCTAAAGCTAAAGAAAAATATTTTAAGTATTTCAAATTTCAAATCATTTAATCTTTAATACTGTTTTCAAAAACTTGCAGTCTACAGGCAATGTGGAGTGATCCAATTAAGGGTTTTTTTGTCTTTTCTCATAATATTTTACTAAAATTTTAGTAACTAACATGTTTTTGCCATCTCTCCATCTAAAAATGGTTCCTTCTTCTGTATCTCGTTTGTTTTTTGTTTTTCGTTTTTTGTTTTTTTATTCCGGTACCAGGAATTGAACTCACAACCTTGCACTTGCCAGGCAGGTGCTTTGCTGCTAAGCTAAATCCCCAGCCCCCTTCCTTTGTATCTCAATCAAAGTCATTTTTGGAGGCAGCCAAAGTCACCAATTTTATTAAAATTTTCTGTTAATTTTTAAAAATTTGTTGGGATATTAAATTCTGAGTTCAGGCAACTAGTTGTATCTTCTTTTTGACCTTTGAGAGGAAACGTTTTTTCATATCCACTCTGGATTTGTAGACAGTGTCTTAATATTGCCTACTTTATTTTCTTTAAGTTATTTTTACGCACAGCGTTTTTGCTTTACTCTGGCATAAAAAATTAAAAATACCACCCATCAGGAACTGCTCAGTCCCTTCTATCTGCCTTGTCCTGTTTACAGTGCTACCTTCTGCATCTGCGCTCGGTTCTGCAGTAGCACCGTAGTATCCCCATGCTTTAAATTGGAGGATTTGCTCATAATTACTTCAACTAAAACTAATTTAATGATATTTATTGAAATAATAAACATTTCAATTTAATTAACAATGAAAATATTCATGTTCACTCATAAGTTATGTTGTATGCATAAAATATCCAAATAAACACACTATAATGTTAGAATACAGGAAAATTTCTCAAAATCAGTCAACATTAACAAGAATAAATCAGTTAACACCAACAAGAATTAGCCAACACCAACAAAATGAATACGGTGTGTATACTAAATGTACGTTAAGTGTTAATGTAGTCTTGCCAAAACAACAAAGTCACACTTTTAACAGAAATATATTTTATGTTTCTTGTTTTAGAAATTCAGCCCCTCAGTTACAGTAGCAGCATTTTAATTGGTAACCACATGTGGCTTTCAGCTACCATTTTTGGACAGAGCAATGATAGGTTCTGTTCTCAGCAGTTTACATGGATTAATTTATGGAATTCTTACAAGTTTAAATACTCTCAATGTATTTATTCTAACTACTTCTGTGTCACAGACAATGAAACTGAGGCAGAACCAATTATATAACTTACCAAATTTACCCCCACTACTGACTGGGAAACCAGGATTTAAGCCCAGTGTGACCCAGGGGCCACTACTCCAGACTGTCAAAACTTCAGTGGCACGAAGTTTCCTAAGAGATGGCATGAGAGGTGGAGAACATGTTAAAAAGCATAAACCAAGCCAGTCTGTAATGAAAAGGAGAAGGACAGGCCCTATGAGAAGGCATGGTGAAAGAGGAGAAAAGACATGGCCTGGATGGTTAAAGATAAATGTCACAGGTGAACAGGACATGGGGCAGGGCACAGGAGCTGGCGTGGGAAGTGTGAGCCAAGAGCTGCATAGTCATGAAAAGATAAGGCTATTTAGTAACTACGGTGGCTCCCAAAGTACAGCAAGGTCCTAGTCCCTGGAAACAGAATCTTCCTCTCTGGATGTGATTAAATCAAGGATTTTGCACAGCAGAGATTATCCTGGATTATCTGGGTAGGATCCAAAGGCAATCCTAAGTGTTGCTGTAACAAAGAGGTGGTGGAAGATTTCACACAGACAGAAGAGGGCATGTGACCATAGAGGCAGAGACTGGAGTGATAAAGCCACAAATCACGGGCTGCCAGCAGCCAACAAGAGCTGGAGAGAAGAAGAAAATGAATGTTTCAACTACAACTCTAAAGGGAGAGTGACCCTGCCAAAGTATACCTTGGTATTGGGCCTCCAGGACTGTGAGAGGAGAAATCCACTCAGCTTGTGGTGATTCGCTACAGCAAGCATGGGAACTAATGCAGCGACCAGGGACTCTTCAAACCCTCATGCACAGTCATACACTTGTGACTCACCAAGTGGAGAAGCTAGGCATTGCAGGAGGTGAAAGGCTAGAGTACAACAAAAGAATGAACTATGAAAGGTTCAACAAAAGCCCAAGATGAAACAATCAAGGGGAGTGGGAGGGTGCACATAAAGCTGTCCACAGCCTGGGCGGTGAGAGGCTCCTTGTTGACCTGGATAATCTTGTGGACACACAATGACAAGTTGCTGGAGTTGTAGGAGGAGAAAATCTACACCACACAGGAAGGTGGCCCTAAAAACCCACACTTTGCTCCAACTCTAAGACTGCACCCTTGAACTGGCCACAGGCCTCTTTGTCGTGCCCACATGCAGAGCTGGAACAACTAAGTAAAAACAATAATTGTATTAATCTGGGGTGAACCTCAAAATACTGACTATCCCAAGCACTAACCACCAGAGTGGCTACAGGTTTACCTGCTTGCATAGGGTACCTGCCAGCTGAATGGTTCATAAAACCATTCACACTGACCTGTAGTTAAATATAGATTCTGAGCAGGCAGGACTACACAGCAAGGAGAAAATAGCCCCGTAAATACTGTTTATTTGAACTGACAATAAGTCCCCTGGCTTGGGAAGCCACTGATGGAAAGGAAGGGAGGCCAGGTAGGCTGTAAACCGCTTTCTAAATGCTGGGCTCTGACCACAAAGGACCAGGAGCCACAGTCCGTGGCACCGTAGTCCCCAGGGCTGCTGACTCAGTACCCTCTGCAAATGACACTCCAGGAAGTCTGCGTTTAGCTTTGGTTGTGTGTGTTCTCATTCATATTCTCCCGCCACTTCTCCTTCTCATCCCTACCCCACCATCATCCTTCCTCTCCTCCAATCTCCCTCCCAGCACATAAAGTGGGGCCTTCTGGTTTCAAGCTAGCAATACCCATTTGGCAACAGCTGTCTAATAGGTTAATGCCCAACAACAGGCACTTGTATGTTCTTTAATGTAGAGGGCAAGTATGGCCCTTGAACAAAAACCTTATTATCCAGATTTTACTGCATATTTACTACAAACCAGTTTCAATTTTATGTTTTCAATCCTAAGCCTTAAAACAAAGAGAGCAAACTCATATTCGAATTAGAAGGAGCTATTTAAACAAAAAGAAAAATGATGCCAGGCTAAAAATGGTACCTGCCACATGTTGAACTTTGTCTCCCCAAGTTCGTATGTTGAAGCCCACCCCCAACCTCACACACATCCGTACCTCAGAATATGACCTGATTTGGCAACAGGGTCACTGCAGGTGAAGTTAGTTAAGATGTCATATTACAGCCGAGGAGGCCACTATCGCAACACGACTGGTACCCTCACAAGCGGGGGAAGCCTGGAGCCAGACGCACAAGGGCAGCACCACATGAAGACAAAGGCAGAGGCTTTGCGTTTCTGCAAGCCACGGAACACTGGAGACTGCCAGCAAACCACAGAAGCCGGGAGAGGGGCTCGGAACAGAGTCTCCTCTCAGCTTCGGAAGAAGCCAACCCTGCCAACACCGTCACCTCAGATGTTCCAACCTCCAGATCTGTGCGCCAAAAGCTTCATGTTCAGCCATCCAGCCTGCAGCACTTTCTTAAGGCAACCCTAGGGACAGGACCCAAAATGAGGACAGTGGCCACCAACAGGTCAGGCAGGCAAGCAGTCTGGAGGAAAGAGTTTCCCCTCTTTACACCTCTAGTCACTGCTGGAAGCCCCCAGGCTTGCGGCAATTCCGCTCCCCATGGGGATCACCCTGCCCGACACAGTGGCCTTGTCTGGGTTCCATCAGCTGCACCTCCTGAGCTTCACGCAGGCTTCCCCCCTCCTCCTCACTGCTGGCTGTTCCAGCCTCGGCACGCTGACCCCACATAATTCCTTATTCTAGGTGTTGGCCCAGCATCACTCCCTCAGAAACTCCTTCCTACTGCTCCAGCCTGAGCTGGATGCCTGAGCCATGGAAGAGCACTGACTGCTTCCTTCACAGTTAGTGACCCTAGGCAACGTCTTGCCCTGCAGCAGTGCACACAAACTCTGCCTGTCCCAATGGGCCACCGAAGCCACAAGGACAGGACAGTGACTACTATGCTCATCATAACCCAGTGTGCTGAGTACTGGGCATCTGCACACAATACACATTTGCTTCCTCCATTTCACAGCACCCAGGGCTTAGTAGTCACAGTGCCCCAATGACACTTACACCTGTAGGGTCAGAGCCGTGCTGTCCGTCAGTTGGCCTCCCTGTCTTAAAACACAGAATCTCAAAGGGCTCTTGCCTCCAGCACCCTTCTCCAAAGGGCCGAGCACTCTGCCCATGCCAAGTGTATCACACTTGGGCCATACCTGGGCCTCCCCGCTCCAGCACCCAGTACCCAGCAAGCAGCTGCATCACCCTTACTAAAATGACACAGAGGCCTCTAGGGGTTCCCCAAAGGTCTTCTCCTTTCTATTTGATTTTGCCTCCAACTAAACTCCTTTTTGAATGACATTTAAGTAGAAATCCAATAAATTGCGAAGAACTGCTACCAGCTGCCAGGTAGAGGTGGTATGGAGGGATTTGGGAGGGGTGTGGCTCCTCACCTCCCACTCCCCTGGGCCACAACCCTGTCCCTCGCCCCTTACACCTCTACGGTCAACCCGCAGTTTAGAAATTATTGTCCCATCTGAATAAGCCTAAAAGTTTTAGTAAGGAGTCACTGCTCTCCATTAACTATAGCTCCATTACCAAAGCCTCACCAAATAAAAACATTTTAATGTGAGCATCCCATGTCCTAACTCCAACTCTTCCCTGCCATATTTATTTTCTCCTTGACTCATTTAGTCACGTGTCAGGCACCTGTGATGCTCCCACAAGAGTACTAAGTGTTATGCAGTAGACGGCAGGGTCACGTCCATGGGTATACTGACAGCACTAGCAGTAAAACTAAACATGCAGGCAATATTTACCATGGGCAGCACAGGCGGAAGTATTGTATAAGCATTCACCTTCTGAACAACCTTGTATGCAGGGTCCCATAACGGTAATTTTAACAGTAAGAGCATGCAGTCCTAAGAAGGGGAGGTCACACTGCACAGCTACGAAGAGATAAAGTGAAGACTTGAAACCAGATATTTTGTATTACTTTAGGTAGTAGTCAGTTGTGGACATAACGAGAGGCACAGAAGTTGCTCGGGAAAACAAGGTTTGTTATCCTCACAGACCTGCTGGGTAAGGCCACAGGGGAAGCAGTCTGGGACAACTGTGTGGAGAAAGCCTACACCAGAACCTTAATTTGGATTTCCAGGAAGCGAGAGACAGGACAAGACAGCTCAGGACTGGCCAGTGTGGATACTCTGGTTGGGCTCTGGGACACAAGGGCAGTCTCGAGTTGCCTGGCACCTGGTGCAGGAATATTAAGGCACAAAAACGTGGCCTCCTGGGGTGTACAGGCCACACAGAGGAAGAGGCTCTGGACTAGGATAGCTTCTGCTGTGCCCTCCATCTCTAAGTGCCTAGCTCCAGAAGGGGCAGTGTCTCCCTAGCCAGCAAAGTTTTTAAAACATCAATATACCATAATACAAATAAAAATTTAAAACACAAACAATACATCAGACTACCTGACTTCAGGCCTCAAACACTGTGCCTGCTATGTTCCCAGCACAGAGACGCTTGATACCAGTGCACCCACAGAGG